GTGACGATCTTGATGCCGGAGTGCTTCAGGGCACACTCAAAGATGTTGCGCAGCGTCCTAACAGCCGGGCTCCACCCTGACATGCTCTCTGGAACAGATACACCTGAAGAGGCGAGAGAAGTAGCATCTTCATTGACAGGATAACAAAACAGAAATCATACAATTTAATACATCGTGCTCAAAGAAAAACATCATTAGAATGTTCTGGACATTTTTCACTTTTATTGGACAGTGCAGAGCTGAAGAGTAGACGGGAAAGTGTGTGCGTGAGAGAGAATGTACATGTAAACAAAATCTAAACAACACTGAGTTTGGCTCTCCCAGCTCTCCTGTGAGCTCACTGTACTCACCTCAGCATCAGGGAATTTTCTATGTTTTCAGACATATATGACTAAGTTTTATTTTGAGAAATGCTCAATGACCGACCTCAGTTTTCTTGGCTAATTCTGACTTGCAATTTTTTTCCAAGGGTGACCTGCTGAATCTCCTAGTACTTGGATGGGAGACTGCCTGGGAATACCAGGTGCAGTAAGCTTGGGCTTTTTGTAGCTCAGGAGGTAAGATAGATGTTACATAGGCTACGTTCACTCTGCAGGTCTTGATGCTCAATTCAGATTTTTTAATCAAATCCGATTTTTTTGTCTGCTCGTTCACACTACAAATATAAAAAGACTTGGTCACCATCCCCCAAGCTTTATGTCACCGTAACATATTTCAAACCAAATATCACAAGTGCAGCTGAAGATCTGAATGAAAAACTAATAAAACAGGATTTATAGTCCAGCAGAGGTTGAGTTTATAGTCTGCTCTGCTGCAGTCAGCCCATCTGTCTGCAGAGAGCTCTGCTGTCGTTGGAGGCAGTGTACAACACATGCATTCCAGTCTGTGGACAACTCTGGCTTGTGTTGTAGTTGGTCTGTCAGCCACAAAGAACAGTGAAAACCCAAAGAGCAGAAGTGAAACTGAATGTTAGAAAGAAAGAAGAACTTTGTCACTGCAGCCTAACTGCGCACTTTTTTTAATGTTTTTTAATACTGCATGCTCCTAACTGTTCTGCCCATTCAAGACCTGAAGTCTTTATTGGATCATAAGGTGGACATAGAAGCAGCTGCCGTTCCACAGATTTCTACACCAGTGATTCTCAAGTGTGTTTTTTGTATCGTCATACTGTGAAATTATGATCTACTATCTCA